ATAAGATACAGATAAATGATTTAGTGTATATAAATTAGCCTTTACAGCCTCTATAAAAAAAAAACTAAAAATATAATAAAATTAATAAAATTTAAGAAAAAAAAAAAAAAAAAAAAAATCAATAAAATAAAATTATCATTCCTAAAAAAAAAAAAACAGTATAATATATATATATATTGTAATGTAACTTTCTATTTTGAATATAATTAATTTTTTTTTTATATTTATTTTATTTTATTTGTTTATTTTATATTACCTGGCTAGCTTTATTTTATGTTATATAATTGTATTAAAATATTTCATATGATGAATCAATAAATAATAATATTATACTTACTTGTTTTATATTAAGTTCTAATTATCTATACCTTTCATTGAACATGAGGCAACTTTAATAATTACCTTATTTTTTTTTATATCTATATTTTTTATTTACCTCAGGGATTTAATTTTAGAGCGAGTTCATGAAACTATTCATCCAATACTCCCTGTAATATAATATTTGCAAATAATTTGTGATTGTACTCCTTATCCAAACTCGTATTGCCAATGTCAATTTATATTTAAAATAAAACCCTAGAAAATATACTATTTTGTAGACAGAACATGAACATATTTATTTTAACATTGTTTAAACATCAGTTAACATAAACTTTGAAATAATTATTAAAAAATATTTAACTAATAATAGTATCATTCATCTTCGTTCATGCAGAAAATTACTAAAGAATTTACTTCTATATTATTATTCCAGTGTTTTACTATTTGATAAGTTGGTATCACTTCTTTTCTAACCTGACTTTATTTAAATTTCATCCAAATAAATAATATAATGGTAAAATATTTTGGGAATAATATAAAAGTAATGTGTGACGAAATGAAAATGATATACACAAGTAAGATGAGTATAACATTGTTTATAATTAATACCTTATATTGTTCTTTTTGTAGGTTGGTCTTTCAGTCACGAACAGAACTGTCTTTTCCCGGATAAGACAATGTTATCCTTTCTTGATGAACTGTAGTCCATATAACACCACAATATAGATTTTCTCGACTCCCATGTTGACTGTCACTTAGTCATTGGCATAACTTCATTGGAATTATACCTGTTATGTAGGTATAGCCGAACACTTTAATAGTTACATTTACTAGTAATCCAATACACTTGGATATACAATCTAAATTTGGATGGTTTTAGGTTTATTTTAAATATAACTTTTCTTTTAGGAACCAATATTTCTTGACAACTCTTGTCATCTCTTTTGTTATCAACAACAACTTATTTTTTTCTCGCATCAAGTTACAAAAAAAAAATGTTATTCCTAGAATCTTTCATTATGACAAATTTGACAACCTTTTCTTGATTTTAAAATACAGGATGTATTTTACATGTTTACGTTAATATAAGTTTATCTAAAGTTATTAAAGGATTATAGTTTACTTTGAATTAAACATCATCTCTCTTTACATCACTGAGTGATATTGGATAAATGTTTCAGTCTAAACGAGTCCCGCTATTGTTATCTATTCCAAAAATTACTATTTAATTAATATTAAAGTAACAAATTTAATTATCTTTACTATTGTAAATCAGTTCACCTCATGTTAGTAAATTCAGTGTCTCAGTTACTTAATTTTTAACTTTTTATGTATACAATTTTATAATATACTCAACTAAAGTTTATGACTTCACTATAGTCATTTTAATTGATTTATTACATCACTATATATATATATTATAATGAAACACGGAATCCCAAGAATATCAAGTTAATGATAAAAAGTCTTCAAAGAAATAAATTTAAAAAAGTTTCATCTAAGTATTTAGACTACACCCTGTATAGTGATAAATTTGACAAGATCAAAAGTAACTAAATGTAGTGAGACAATGTTACCACACGAAAATTATAATTTTTAAAATGTAAATTTGTAAAAAAATTACAACAGGGATTTCAAAATAACCTATTAATTAATGAACGATAAATTATCATCGAAATTATGAAATAAGCAGTTTAAATAAACTCACCTTTAAAAATCCAATAATCTAATTTTAAAGATATAACTAAACTGTCAAAATTTTGATTGGCTAATTATTTTTTCATCCAACTTGATTCAAAAATCCAAATCAGAATTTTTGTTGATGAAACAAAAAAGAGTGCTAGAAAGGTAACGAAAAAGGAAGGACACAAAAATTTTTTCCTTCGAATTTCCTCTCCAAACTCCTTTTTCCTAAAAATAAAGAGACAGAAATATTAAATCTTCAATGTTTATGTATAAACGATTAACTAGTGTATAAATGTCAAAGGTAATATTAAATTTAACTTACCCACGCAATATTATGTAAAACTGCCCGAAGAAGAGTTCCAGGAAGTATGCATTGGCATACAAGACGCAAGGCCTCCATTTCCCCCAGGTACTTGTAACATCCTTCTGTTATGGACGCTGAAAAGAAATAAGTTTAACACTAGGACATCTTATATTTCACAGTGCTATACAGGTATTTCAATTAAAAACTATCATTAGTGACCAATTAAAAGAAAGTACTTACCAAATTGAGTACTTGAGTAATCGTAAAGACGATAAATCTTTCTATTTTAATATAAAATAACATCATAATGTTTTTTTGGACTATCTGATTTGATTAGGTTAGAATTCCATATAAGCCATCTTTTGTCCGACTAGAGAAATTACCATATAGCCGGCCAAAAGAGATCTACTTACGTATTTAAAAGCGCCGTACGGTGGGTAGAATATTAAGTTCGATAGGTAACTGTATTTTTATAGTATAATGCGCCATTTTCGATCCAAGAATCGATCGTTAAATGACGAATTATTTTATTATTTTTGTTTCTATGTTAATTTTTACATTTATGTAACAATATTCTGTTTCTTTTTTCCCACATTAGTTACAAAGAATTTTTGAACTCGCACTAAGCCCTGATATCAATTATTTTAAATAAAACTACAAGTTATACACAGAGTCTCAAACTTTTACTTATTTTTTATTTCTATACAAGAGCTGACAATATACGAGGTTCAGAGGTAAGTGTCTTAAATACATGGATGAAAATTTTTAAACCCATTAGTTAAAAGAATTGAGTCATTTCGTTTCATTAATTGCATTAGATAACATTTCAGCCGGAGCATTAAGTATTTGTATGGGGGATGATGATTTGTGATTTAAATTATTTAAAGCTCATTGCAATTATAACGTCACAACGTAGTGCTATATATTTCACAAAAAAAACATCCCCCATAACAATATATATATATATATATATATATATATATATATATATATATATATATATATATATATATATATATATATATATATACATTTAAACCGTCATTAGGAAGCCAAAATAGACATTTGGCTTAGATAATGCGAAGCCCATTAGGTTTTTACGAAGCCCAAATCGGGCTTCTTAAAAACATCGTGTATAAAATGCAGACAATGTAGGTAGGGTCATCTGGAATAACTTCTAAAAAATTCATAGGGAGTCATAAGTATGTATAATATCTTAATTTATACACCCTTAGTACACCGCTTTTGACTGAAGGTGGCGTACGATTGCAAATGTATATACAATGAATATAGTACATGGATTATAGGAGCCAAGTACTTTGTGCATACTATAAGAAGCCCCCAAATTTGGCAACATGGTTTACTTGAAAAATGAATGCTAGGCAGCTTATCTTCAAGATTTTTATTGTACCTATTAAAATTTGTTCATTGTGGTTCTAAAATAAGAGAAAAATGAATTTTCTATTACTTTAGAAAAATCCTGAAGCATTGCATTTTTTTAATACAATTATGTACCGTCTCTTTCCAGCCCCTTGGAAAAATAGCCTTTAAAAATTTTATATGAAAATGGGGCATGTGACACCTCATTTAAAAGTGGTTTTAATTACCTATTAGTAATATTTTAGTAATTCGATAGTTTTTGTACATTTTTAATGTTTAAAATAATTTTTAAACAGAAATCTTATACATTATTTAGGACATGCGTTTAAACTGTGATTCGTTAATTTCTTGACATCAAAGACTGAAATTATTTTAAAAATTTTGTTTTAAACATTTGTGTTCATAATAAATAATTAAAAATACTTTAAAATGAGGCATCACATGTCCCATTTTACATTTAAAAGTTTTCATTTAAAAAGTTCATTTATTAAGCATGAAAAAAAGATTTAATTTAAATAATCCTCAGCCAAGATTTGAACCAGGGCTTCTCGCGTGAAAGGTACCTTCATCTTTACATATAGGTTTGTAGTTTTATTACCATTGACTTCATATAGTTTTATTAAAAATACCGAATTATTTATAATTATAGAAGAAATAAAAATAGAAATGCTATTATTTATTGATTCTACACAAAAATAACTCATTTTAATGTATATTATTTAATTTCAGTAACTAAAAAATATACTACTGATAATTAGTTTGCCAAAATTGTCACTTATTTAAAATTTTAAAAATAATAGTATTCGGATGGACAAAATATGAACTGTGATTGGTGGATTTAATTTTTTTGCAGTGTTTTCACTACCTAGAATGATTATGAAATATATACGTTCAGTTAAACGTAATAGCATACTTTTTCGTTTTGTAGTCTGAGCGCTGATAAGTCAATATCCATGTAGGTGCAGAAAAAACAATTTTCCTGTGTGTTTTGTTTTCGAATGGCCAACCTATGTTAGTCCTAAAATAAAAAAGGAATGAGAGTTTGTAAAATAAAAAAAATCTGTATTAAAACATTTCTTTATTTGAGATTATAAAGGTAAAAATTGGTAGTGTTTAAATAATATAAAAAAAACGAAAATTCTTAAAACTGAAAATTTTTTAAAAGATGAGTTTAAATGAATTAAAAACAAAGGGTTTGATCTTCACCCAATCCTTAAAACAAAAATTCTTTAAACTGAAATTTTTTTAAAAAACGAGTTTAAGACAAACTTAATAATTTGTAAAAAAAGGTTTTGATCTTCACCCAATCCTTAAAACTAAAATTCTTAAAATTGAAAATTTTTTAAAAAGAGTTTAAGACAATCTAAATGAATTGTAAACAAAGGTTTTGATCTTCACCCAATCCTTGTTTATCATACTTTTTCCGTGCTTGGCAATAAATTGATCACACTCGTATTTTCTAGGTGTAGCTTTTTTTTCCAAATGATCTTTAAAATAATCTAATACAAGTGTTTTCTCTTGATCAGTCCACCGAGTCCGGCCAGATATTTTTTTGCTCTCGCAAAGTTTTTTAGAAGAATTAGTTTCATTTTTGTTTTTTACTTTTTTTTCTCTACTTAATTTCGGTTCTTCTAATTCTTCTTCCACTAATTTCTCTTGTCTTAATCCTTCTTCTAAAACACGTTCTTCATTCAGTATATTTTCTCCTAATTCTGTCATCTCTAATTATTTTTGTCCTGCTGGTTCTATAAAATACTTATGTTTTTTTTTCTTGCGTTTATTAATAGAAATTTTATCAGTGGCAGATGTACTGGCCGTCGGAAGATGTAAATCGCCAAGGCCCTCCTCATCTTCTTCGGACTCTGAACTGTAATAAATGTCTTCATTAAGGTCTATTTCGTTTAAAGTTTTGCCTTGAAATTCTTTTCCTTTTCCCTTTTCAAGTAAAAGTAACACTTTGGCAACCTTTGCAGTCTGGTAAATGTCTTGCGGCAATCTAAAAAAAAAATCATTTTAAAATAATGACAAAAAAAACATGCGTGACAGAGGTTGTAAAAAAATGATAATCGTCTACGAACAATTTTTGAAATCAATATTTAAACAAATATGTACCTATAAAATTCAGCATGGGTTTTGTTTGTGTGTCCCATAAATGTGGCTACTTGTTCCATTTCTTCTGGCTGCATGTTCATTAGTTGCAACGTCGTTGCTATATGCTTTCTGAATTTTGTTGATGTTAATAAAGTCGGTTGTTTAGCTCCAGAATTATTAGCCAAACGGCGAATAATATTGGCTCCGGCCATCCATCTATTTTCGGAATCGGGGTTTGCAAATAGATATGGATTTGTTTTGGGAACTATATTAGTAGTTTCTCTAATTTTGAGTAAACAATTTATGAATAGTTGAATGCGTGTAGAGAAAAGAATGGGAACTGGTTTAGAGCCCTTCCCACCTGTTACAACTCTTTTAAATTTTTTACTTAAAATTTTTTCTACCTCAGTAAGCGATTGAGTAAAAGCTTCTTGATCAGTCCTAGCAATATCTTTACAGTAGGTTTGTATTTTCAAATATTGGATATCACCTACTCGCTTACGATTAAACATGACAGTTTGAGTTAAGACACATTCAGTTAAAATTTTATAATTTTTCTGGATGTTTATATTATTCTTTAACTTTTCATACGCAAGCTCGGCAAGATTGTTAACATATGTTTGAAAGAGTAGTATATCACTTGTTAATGGCAAATCTACTGGTTTTTCCCATTTTCTCTCCTGTAGAGTTTTTAACGCTAGACTAGATATTTCATTACACCAGTGTCCTACTATTAATTTTTTTAAATCCTTAATATCATTTTTCTTTTGTTCTCTGTTATCCCAATTTATATTAGGAAGCTTCTTTTTTTCAACTACAATTTTGAAGGCAACATCGCATACTATTTTTAGATTTGTTCCCATATGTAAAGCTAGAGATGGAGCTTTGAAGCTCTTCTGAGATTCGTCATAACCGCTAATGAGTTTGACTGCTGATAGCAGAGTCCCAAACATCTCTGGCCGTAGTACATCGAACAATCCATAAATTTCTGTATTCATTGATTTTACAGTTATTAGCATTCTAGCCATTTCTCTAATTTTATTAGATATTACAGTGGCAATTTGTTGTCGTTTATGTTTTACTAAAAGCATTTCGCCGTATAAACATATTAGCGGATCGTTCTTTGCTACTGCACTTATATCGTCTGGTCTCATTATATCGAATACTTCTTTTTTTATGCGAGATGTTCTTAAATATTCGTGATTTTTTGATAACATCGATGCCATAAACGTTTGAGACTTTGTTAAACAGTTTTTGCCAGGATTAATAACATTAGCTGGCTTTTGTTTGCAATCTTTAACATGTTTGTGTAACAGTTTTTTACTAAAATGTCCCAGACAATAGGTACATACAAAATAATCCGTATTTGGATTTTTTGAATTTCGTACAGGATTAAGGATATCTTTTTCAGTTTTTAAATGAAAATATCCTTGTTTGCGAAGTGCTGTAACAAGAGCTAAGCGCTCTTTACTCCTGGGTTTCAGACTGAGAATTTGCTTAACATTAGTGTTATTTTCATGGTGCCTGAATAGATGTCTTGTAAAATGCGTAATAACATCCTCATAACAAATGGGGCAAATAGTTGGCCTCTCTCTAGCAGAAGGCTTCTTCGTATATTGATGATTAGTAACCACCTAGTAAAAAAAATGTAATTGTTTATTCTGAAAAATATTTTTCTTAGTTTAAATTATCCTATCTGGAATTTCCTTTTTTTTAACTAGATATAATTTATTATTATTTTAAATAAGGACTTAGAATTTTTAGTTTTTTTTTGTTAAGTCTAGTTTATCTTTTGTCCTCAATAAAACCTGTAATCAAGAAGATTTTTGCATTTAAACTGACAAAATTTAAAGATTTCTTTTTTGAAATTCAGGATATTGGAAAATCATCAAAAAGCATTTAATATTCATTTTTGAAAAATTACTCAAAATTGCTTTATTACTTTATTTCTGTTTAAAATTTCCTTATTTTTGTTGCTTGATATTTGTTGTTAGAATATTGTTAAATGGTTAATTGTATTTATAAGTTTCAATGATAAAAATATTTATGGATCATTACTGGCGTTATCTATTTGCAGAATATTTATTATTATTTTTCTACAAAATATTTAAATATTTAAAAATGTTTGAATATTAAATAAATAAAATTAGTTAAATTTTTTATTCAGAACCGTAATTAATGTTTGTAATATTTATTGGTAATGATTTATTTACTTACCAAAGGTAATGCAGTGACATATGTAGTTGGACCTTTCGGAAGTTTTGCCTTTGCGCCTTGACATTCTGAATCGAACTTTCTTTTACCTCCACTACCTTTTATTGTACTCTATAATAAAGAAGTATATAATGTAGAAATACGAGATAGTGTAAAATTATTGACTTTACCTGAATTATTGGTTGAATATCGTCAACTTTCTTCACATTGCTGATATCAGTGAGTATAGGTTTGATTTGCTCCTTGTAATATATCTTCTTTACATCACGGACTGGGCATTTTTTTGACGTAGTGATATTATTTGAAATTTCGCTGTCAACATCTGACAATGATAGGGAATTTGAAGATACTGATGATGAACAATCCGTTGGCATGTACGGAGTTCCTGAACTTTCATACTCTTCTGTTAATTCGTCATCAATATTACTTATACTGTCTGGAATGTTAGATGACGTTGAATCTAATAACTGCATAGGGAGTTCAGTTGTTACGTTTTTTAAGGTAGTGTAATCTCGATTAACTAAATTTTTAGATTCAGATAAAAACTCCACGAATGTAGTTATCTCCGGAGTTAAATTTTTTTCTTTTACGCTCATTATATTTTCACACTGTAAACCTGAATCCGTAATATTAGGCGTTGTGTAACATTCTTCAAGTTGTAAGTTATTTGCAAGACTGCAATTATTCATAAAATTATCTGTCTGAGAAACTACTTCAAAAGCAGTAGTTTGTAAATTAGGTAATAGGTATAATGAGCTTTTTTCATTTCTCGGGTAACATTCTTCAGGTTCCAAATTATTTATAAGACTGGAATTGCTCATCAAATTATCTGTCTGAGAAACTACTTCATACGCTGTGGTTTTTGGAGAAGGTAATATGCATATTGATCGTTTTTCGTTTTTCGAAATATTTAAATAAGTATAGTGACTTTCTTCAGGTATTTCCGGTATAAAGTTATACGGGTCTAATTTTGAAATAGATGAATCTTTTAGTGAGTTTTCGGTCAGATTCAATTCAGAAAAAGCAGTTCCATTAAATTGACTAATGCTACTGTCAGATAATTTTTCAGTTAAAATAGATGAGTTAGAAATCTGGGTAACATTGATGGCTTCCTCAGTAACAGTGGCAATCTTATTCTCCATAGCTAGTCTTAACAGAAATTCACTTCTTTTCATTTTTGATATTACCTAAATCTCACAGAAAACTATTTCAAAGTTTATATTATTACTAAAATATTTCCAAAATTAAACTACTTAAGAAAATAATAGTTGCATATTATTATTTTTGCTTATTATTATTTCATTAGGAAACAGAAATACGTTGACAGTGAAAATATATAGTTCTACATATAAATCATTATTCTGAAGCCAAAATAGACAATTTGCTCAGATGATAAGAAGCCCATTAGATTTTTAGAAAGCCAAAATCGGGCTTCTTAAAGACAACATGCATAAAATGCAGAAATTATAGGTGTATCAAATTTAGTGAGAAATTAGACGCGTTATTATCGCACAATCAAACAAGCAACTACATGTGCAGCGAGTTACACGCTACTTCTGTTACTAAACGATTACCTGAAACAATCTAATATTTGTCTCAGAGGTGGGCAACGGTCGGAATTGCTTTGATATCACTTGGCTATCGACATACAAGGTGAGAGTGGAACACAACTGAAAATTCTCAGAAACTCGTACCTATTCAAAGATATTCGGTCTTAGGGTCAGAATAAGGTTTTTAGGTAATATAATTTTAACTCATATTCTGATTTAAAGGAAATTATAGTGATCTGCAAAGCGTATTTAAAATAAAAACTATTTACTTTTAGAACTAGCAGTGTTATCTTAGAAGTATCAAACTTTTTAAGTGATCCTGTATTTTATTTCAACCCTAGAATGTTTTAAAAAAATAATTATTTTTTTTGTGAAATTAGAGAATGATGTAGAACCCAAATTAAATTATCATAATTTAGGTAGGTTAACAATGATTTTAAAGTTATTTAAAATACAAAAAGAACTGGTTTATTTCATACAGAGTGTCTTAAATATTGCTAATTATAGGTTCAATTTACTCAATTTTTTTAAATCAGTATATTATTTTAGCATAAAATTTCTTATAAATGTATCTATCCAACGATAGCAACAAGTTAGCTAATTATACATATTATATCTCATTAGTGCGTAATTGATTGATAGCTCTTTTATTATTGAAAATATACAGAATGGTTCATAAACGAGGGGTTGACCAAATTTTATATTTTTTTTAAAGCAAAACACCATGTAGAAACTTACACATATTTGATTATTTCCACATCGCCAAACAATTTCAATAAACATTAGGTACTTGCTATGTTGTGTACATGGTGTGTCAAAACTCAAAGTTACTATTACCCTCTACATAAAAAAATATTTTTAAAATATGTATTTCTTAAATGCATATTTAACTTTTATTTAAAAACTTGTTTGCGTGTCTATAACACACATTGAAATATTGAACAATTGCGCACTAATGGGATACTGTATATCGTCGACAACATTCTCAAACCTCGTAAGTTGTTTTTTTGGCAAATTGAGTTTTGTGCCTCAAACTAATCCTCGTATGCTTCAGCGTTATATTATTAAGCCTCGTATTTATTATTGTGTCGCTTTTTTATTATTTAAAAAATCTGATGTGTCCAACACATGACTTTCCTATCTAGTTATTATAGCCTTTTCCGATTATTTTGCACAACCCATTGCAGCACCTCTATAAATGTTTAGAGGATAAACTAAATATACACATTTTCCACATACATCTAACTCGAAACATTTTTCTATAGATATTCATTGAAAACGAAAATACTGAAAAATTTAAATTTAGCACTTTTTCTCCAATTTTTCCATTACGGTCCATTTTAAAAAAAATCATGTAAAAACAAAAATTATAGAGATCGATATCGCAAATAACTTTTAGTTTAACAATTTTCTTAAAAATCAGAATTTTGCGCATTTTGGTAAATTTCTCGAATACTGATCATTTCAGGAAAATTTGTCATTTAATAAAAATTGTAGATAATAATATTAGCAGTCATCCTGAAAATCAACAAAACAGATTCAGGGGACCCCAAAACGTAAAAATCCGTCGAAAACTGGAATTCCAAAAAAATATGATTCCTATACTTTCCTTATCTGGATACAGATAGGAAAGTAAAAATTATAAAATAATGCGTTTTTTTTCTCTTCTGAAAAATATTGTTTTACGTATTTATGCGGTTTGAGAATATCGTCGACGCTATTTATAATCACTTTATAATCTCTATTTACAGTTTATGTATTTAATTTCACAATGAAAAATCATGTTTACACATATATTTCAGAATACAAAATAAAATTTTAATTATAACTTTTCAGAAAATGTATAGAAAGTCATGAATCTATTTTATGTTTACATACTTTTAAAACCAGTGGCAACTTGTAACCAAAATAATGGTAGTTTACAATATAGATCTCATTATGATTTAGATAAAAAACTAATATACCTTTCTAAAATATTAAAAGTTTTTAACCATAATCTGTCCTGAGATCTATATTCTGTCATCGCGAACCCCAATATTTTGATGACGAGCCGCCACTGTTTGCAGCAACCTATAAATATTATAATAAAACAGTTATTGAATGTACAAGCATCAATAACGAGAACATCAATGATCTTATTATTGTTAGAAACTAATTAAAATTTTAAATTAATAAAATTATTCAAAATGATGTCAGCTCAATTATTAAAATAACTGTTTTCTAAGTAGTTTAATTTTATGAACAATTATAAATATAAAAGAAAGTAAAAGAAAGCGTACTTACATATGACAACCTCGCAGGGCTTCCTAAAATCAACGTTCTGTATTTTATTTATACGCCTTGGCTTCTTAAACACTCACTATTTGAGAAAACGCATAAAACTAAAAGCTACATAAAAATATTAAAACAGTTGAAGCTTCCCTTTCGCCTTCCTAACCTGTGGCTTCGTTTCACCTGTAGTGTGTACCGGGCTTCGCATCATCCGATAGGCATGTATATATATATATATATATATATATATATATATATATATATATATATATATATATATATATATATATATATATATATATATATATATATATATTATAAACTAAGGAATCTTGGGATTTTCAGCAAAAATCTTACAATTGTGTACTCTTTTAAGTATTTATTCCAAGCTTTCGAACATGATTATGTTCATCTTCAGGGAGCTACAATATTAATTTTTACAGAGGTTATAAGAAACAATTTTGAAAAAACATATACTTACAACTCAGTGAGAATCGTTGCGTACATGTGGTGTTATATTAATAAAAAATTTTCGGTACATCACAAAACGAGATAAAAATGGTTGATAACAATCATGTTAGCCAAAAAGTTTATATTTTTAATTTTACGTTAGGGCACATGGTCAAATTTTTAAAATAATTAATAAAATTCACATCTAACACCGTTCGGTACTAGAAACGAAAATGAAACTTTTTTATGTTACTATTTGAACTATTTTTAGCGTGGGTACAAAGAGTCAGTTGTCATATGCCTGTCAACCGTCAGTCAAACAGTAGGAAAAAGAAGAAACCGTCAATGGCCTATGTCACCTAAGCACTAACAGTTCAACATCTCTGATACTGCCAAAATGATAGTTGAGAGTCATATGATGAAATAAATTATTTAAATATTATATTTTATATAATAAATGTCAGAAATCATTGCAAGAAGGTATTACGGATAAAATTATGATTTGTATTTCAAGATGTCACTAATCCTATAAGCGACGTCACCCTCTGAGTGAACCATCACAACGCCTAGGCTAAAAGGTTGTCATCCCCCTTGCCCGGGTTGGAACGGAGCACTCACCTGACGATATCGCGAACAGGGCCAGTGCATTTAGTTTTAATGCAAATTTGTAAAATTGGAAAAAACCAACTATGCAATAACAATTGACATTTTGAACAATGTTAAGTATTGGGAAAAATACTCAAAAGGTACAAAGAAAAACGGATGAAATTTTGATTTGATAACAAAACATGTCACAAGCCTGTTGGTGGTGTCACCAGCTGAGCAGGAACCAAAACACTCAAAAGAGAGTTAAAGTCCCCCCTCAACTATTCTGTCACCACCCACAGGACAAGTGCATTTGGAGATGACTAAAAAGTGAAATTTTAACATTGGGGCCTATACATCAGAAATTCCTGACATGTCTCCACTAACAACACCGTGTTTGTCAACATGTAACAGATATGAGAATATTTCACTAAGGTGTTTGATATCTGTTCTTTTATTAATGCAGTTTTCATTTTGATAGATATGTGCCATTTCTAGAAACTGTCTTTTAGAGATGTTCGTTTCTCTTTCTAGCACAGAGACACTATCATAATTCATTATATGGTCATTTTTGCTGACATGTTCTGCCAAAGCACATCTTTCAGGGTGTAATCTACAGTCACTACGGTGGGAGGTTATGCGATCTTTTAGGCATCTAGCCGTTTGTCCAATATATATCTTTTGACATGTGCCACAAGGGATACTATAAACTACACTACTCAGAGATGTTTTTGGAACTTTATCTTTTAATTTTGAAAACACTATGTTGTTAGTGAGGACAAGTTTTTCAGCGATTTTTATGTTTTCAAGTGGTTTCAATAATTTTGTGAGTTCAGGTGTAATTTCCTTAATGTAAGGCAATGTTACATATCGGATGTTTTGTACTGTGGAAACACTATTAGGTGGTATATCATTGACAACCTCACCTCTATTGCTAACGTTAACGTTTGAATCATTAATAACATTGCCATCTGTAAATATGGATGATGTGCTGAACAATATCTTTTTTAGTAAGTCAGGTGGATAGGAATTATCTAGGAATAACTGATATAAGAGTTTCAAATTTTTGTCATGGAAGGAAGGATCACTTATTTTGACAACTCTGTTTTTTATTTCTTTGATTGTATTGATTTTCGTAGACTGTTTATGGTAAGACCAATAATTTATATATCTGCCTGAACTAATAGGCTTTCTATACCAATCTACTACAATCTTGTTATTCCTACGGATGATCTTAGTATCTAGGAAGGGTACACTATTCAAAGGATTTTCAGTTTCTAATGTAAACTGGATATGTGGGTTGTAACTATTAAAGTACCATAAAATCTCATCCACGAAATTCGCTGGTAAGGTTAGGATAATGTCATCGACATATTTCTTTATAAAAGGAATATTCACAGGGATTACTTGTAAGATGTCAAGCACCTCATCCAAATCAAAATTTCATCCGTTTTTCTTTGTACCTTTTGAGTATTTTTCCCAATACTTAACATTGTTCAAAATGTCAATTGTTATTGCATAGTTGGTTTTTTCCAATTTTACAAATTTGCATTAAAACTAAATGCACTGGCCCTGTTCGCGATATCGTCAGGTGAGTGCTCCGTTCCAACCCGGGCAAGGGGGATGACAACCTTTTAGCCTAGGCGTTGTGATGGTTCACTCAGAGGGTGACGTCGCTTATAGGATTAGTGACATCTTGAAATACAAATCATAATTTTATCCGTAATACCTTCTTGCAATGATTTCTGACATTTATTATATAAAATATAATATTTAAATAATTTATTTCATCATATGACTCTCAACTATCATTTTGGCAGTATCAGAGATGTTGAACTGTTAGTGCTTAGGTGACATAGGCCATTGACAGTTTCTTCTTTTTCCTACTGTTTGACTGACGGTTGACAGGCATATGACAACTGACTCTTTGTACCCACGCTAAAAATAGTTCAAATAGTAACATAAAAAAGTTTCATTTTCGTTTCTAGTACCGAACGGTGTTAGATGTGAATTTTATTAATTATTTTAAAAATTTGACCATGTGCCCTAACGTAAAATAAAAAATATAAACTTTT